TGTTTCGGAGGAACATATCACCTCCATCTTCAGGATTTAAGAGTTAGCCAAACAACCATCATGAAGTAGGCAGCAAGCAGAATTAGAGAGATGAGAATTGCATGCAAAATTTTAGTCGGTAACTCTGAAAAGAAGGGGCTAGTTGGAAGTTCTAGGAGAGGATAACATTAAAATGGATCACAAGCAAATATTTGGGTGAGTGTGGACTAGATTCATCTGGCTCAAAACGGAGACTAGCTACGGGCTCTTGTGAACACGATAGTACACTTTTGTGTTATGTAAACACAAGTAATTTGTGACTGGCTGAGCGACAGTGAATTTCTCAGGGACTGAGGTACGCGGAGCTTCGTTTCAAACGCAGGAAAGTCGCTTGGTCTAGAACACGAGACAGGCATTCTTCAGGGACGATGACAGGAAGAAGTTGTTTCCCATCGCAGACCGTTTTGCTTGGTCACCTAGTTCTTTCCTCAGCGTTCAAAATATTGATGGAAACCACGAAGAAATGTTATTCGGAACGAATATTCGCCAGAAAAGTTGTCAGTCCCATAAAAACAACAATTCGACACCATCGTATTTTCATTGTGGCAGCTTTTTGTTGTCCAGCCGCCTGCAGAGGAATCTGATCGTTGTATTTCAGTGACAATGAAATTAGGCCAAGTTCAGTTCTGTGGTGGTGTGTAGGGATGTTAACACACTGCTCAGTTCATTGCAGCGACTACTGAAGTCACAGTTGTCCCTGTGCTTCATTATTTAAGCACATGCTACAAAAACGTATGGGGGGATGGAGCTCTAGCTCCACCATTCTAAACCTGGGCACTTGATTGAGGTGAATGGTGAACTTCACGTCCCGGCAACTTTATTCCCGGGGGAAGAGAACCCGGTACCCATCAGTTAGGAGGCTGGATGTGCCACAAAGCCTGTCTAAACGCTATGAAATATAGACAAATCTTTTGTCCCTGGCAGGAATCGAACCCTGGCCATCCAGTCCATAGCCCTTCACTATACTGACTGTGCTATTCTGGCTCCCGACTACCATTTCGGCACGATTTAGTTTTTATAACGCGGTTTCAACTTTCATGTCAATGGAACATGAGAGCGCTCTGGAGTTGTATTTCGCAGGTGTCTGGTTCAAAGTTTGGCCGGAAAATCGGCTGTCCCGACTGATGTGTGTCGTGGTTTTCCCCATATCCTCCCGGCCATTATCAGGATAGTACCACTATTAGGCTACGATCGCTTCCTTCCAAATCCTTTCCAGTTCATCATCCATCTATCGTCTTACCATCCGATGCTGTATAGTCTTGATACGGAAAGCGTCTTTAAATAACCTGCGGAGCGAAACAAAATTAGAAGAGACATTAAGCAGTAATGACCAACCCTTGTGGTACCCGTACGAGTATTACGTACAGATAAAAGGTAAAGCTGTCCCTCTAACACACCCGTGGAGGCCCATAAGGTTGTGAGGCGTCGAGACTCCAACGTTTTCTAGACCATCGGCCCACAGGTGGTGGTGAGGTTGTCAGCCTTACGCGCCGGCCGCCCTTTACCCACCGGGAAGATGTAGAGATATTCTAGGAAATTTTGGATGTCCAATGATTTCTTTTATTGCTAGTGGGGTGGGACTAAGTCCCTTGTACTGCGGCCACTTCTGGCCTATCGTACCAGCCCCAGATGATAGGTGAGGGTGATTGTGGAGCAATTGGTGGAATGAAGATTGACAGGGGAAACCGAAGTATTCGGAGAAAACCTGCCCCAGCGTCACTTTGACCACCACAAATCCCACTTGACCAGACGCGGGATCGAACCCAGGCCGCCGTGGTGGGAAGCCAGCGACTAACCACTTGAGCTATGTGCGGCCATGTCCAATGATAGTCTCCAAGAGACGTGGCGGGTTAGACGGTGGAGAGCAGGAAAACCAAATGATGCGGTTGGATGGATAAGACCTGTTTCATATTCAAGAGGGCGTCCCAGTGTCTAATCTCAGCTCAGAGTCAAGCCATCCTGAGTTCCTTCTTGCAAGTGCCACAATTAAGCCGCAATTGCTTCCTTCCACGTTCCTTTAAATGGATTGTTCACCGTTCCTCACATCGGTAGATATTACACAGCAAATGAAAACATCGGTAAATGAAACAAGAAGCAACAAAAGCTACCAGAAGACGTGTAATATGAGAAATAGTAAATAAATAACTAATTTCAGATACCAACAGATGATGTCAGAATTCTGAGAGTGATGAATTCGATGAGGTCATTGGATTTTTTTCAGTTGACCTAATCGTTCTGGCCGCACTATGGTCCTGGGGTTCACTCAGCCTCTAGCAGAAATGAGTACCAGGAATTAAATAAATAGTTTTCCTCGGGAGTAAAGCGCGGCCGGCGCGTAAGGCTGACAACCTTACCGCCATCTTTGAGCCGACTGTCTAGACTCTAGATAATGTGGGACCCTCAACGTCTCACAACCCTATGGGCCTTCACGGCCTGGTACAGGGATAGCTTTACTTTTTACTTATGACTTCATCATTGGTGCTCTTTCGTGTAGGGGCTCTTCTTACAAGAACTGAGGTTTGGCCGGTGTGTGTAGATATTAACATTACCTAGGGTGAAAAGGTAACAGAAAAGAGATCAGAAAGTGGTGAATATATACAGATCTAAGATTCGAAATGTGAACAAAAGAATTCCGTGGTTTTAGTCCTCAAGCGAACTATACCGACCGAGCGACCGCCGCTTGTCGGCGAAGTTAGTGTCAACTTTAGCGGATAGAGGGTGTCGCGTGGCCAGCGCAACGAATCTCCACGGCCGTTAATGTCGGTTTACCAGACCGGAGCCGCTATACTCTTAAATAGCTCCTCAGTTATCCTCACGAGGCTGCGTGGACCCCGTTCTAGACCCACTACTTCTCAGAAAATCTGGTAGCGCCGGGAATCGAACCCGGACCTCTGGATCTATAACCAGGAACTCTGACCACTAGATCACGGAGGCGGTTTCGGAATATGAAATGAGAAACACATAAATTACAGAAAATGAAAATTTTGTCACTGGTTTCCTGAACATATGGAGTGATACCAAAATAGCTTTCTGAAACACTTGAAATCAAAACATTCTCCGAAGAATAGCTTGTAATTTAGAAATACGTTGTGTTTTTGCAGAGGTTCTAAATAGACAAATGTGTTCTTTCTGTTTTTTATTTTAAAAATGTTAGGATTTAATCCATGATAGATAACTGTATAATCGTGTCACAGACAGATTCTGTTGTTTGCATGGAACACAGTCCTTCTTCAGAAGCTAACAGTCGATCAACTAGTGAAGGCATTCGCAACCTCTTAAGAAACCTGAAGGTTCGTTACCACGTTCACAATAATGCACCAGTTGTCCCTATGCTGTATGGCAATTCTGTATGCCTTGTGTATATCTCAGTGATTAAAATACACGCATCTGTAATTTGTGCCGGTCACGGTAGCCGAGCGGTCTAAGGCATGCACTGTCTTCGCTCGCATCCCATTTAGGGCATGGATGTTTAGTATTCGTGTGTGTGTGTGTGGGTGCGTGTTCGTTTTTCTGTGTTTATGTACAGCTAGAGGCCTTGCGACGAGCTGATCACCCGCCCAAGGAGTCCTACCGAATGTCTAAGATCTATTAAACCGAAGTGAAACGGAGAGTTTCATGAAGGTAGACCAAGACCCAAATTGGGGCTGTAGCGCCAAAGGAAAAAATCTGTAATTTGTAATTTTATTTTGTCATTACCCTCATATAACATATTTTGGCAAGAACATAAATTGCAGGCGAATGGAACAACATTCTGAGAAAAGTGCTTGTATCCAAGGGAGGCGAAATAATTACAAATAATTATGAGAAACCTTGTGGCCCATATCATTTGCCTTGTATTGTTAGTAAAGGCAAATCAAGAAGGTTTGGGTGGACTGGAGGTGTTGCATGATTGGAGGGATTTTCATGATGTAATCTATCCAAAAATGGCGGTTGCAAATGAAGAAGGAGAGACGAAGGTATTCTTGTGACAAGAAGTTCTTGGGAAGAACCAACTAACTAGCGTCCTTTCACTATTATTTGGGTATTAGATATGACAGACAGAAAGGAGCGTTCTTGTGTATACATAATGAAGTCAATAAAACAATAGCATAAGCAACCACTTGAGAGCCTGCAGTGTTGGTATGAGGGAGAGTCAGTAAATAGGTCACAAATGGAGGTGAAGAGGCTGTAATTGACAATATAGGTTTCCTATATGTATCACTAGGTAGCAGCACAGTCCAGCTTCATGATCTGTTACAATATACATACTAAGTTTCATGAAGATCAGTATAGGCTACACATGTGTGTGTGCGTGCATGCACATAGCATGATGGCCCCTTTACCCACTACCGACTAAGGAAAGTGAAGTAATAATAGGTCTTATTTAAGTAGGTTTTGAAGATCATATTTTCAGCAAATATAAGTGTTTGTGATTTCTGAATATACTGTCAGTGGTCAGGAGAACAATATAAATATTCAACAACATTTAGATGTCTGTGATAGAAATGAAGGGTTCTGGTATATTAAAGTACATTAGTATGAACATATTCATTATGTGGAATTAGGAAAATTCTCCAGTGTTATTATGACTTACGTTTCCAGAGGAATAAAAAATGTTGAAAGATCAAGAAGATGCTGGGAAGATTCCCTTTTATTTGCAACCCACTTTAAATTTGTCGATGATGGTGATGATGGTGATGATGATGATGATGATGATGATGATGATGATGATGATGATGACAACGATCCTCATATCCATATTAACAATGTTGAATTATTATATTTTGTTACCACAAAGTTAGTAAATTTGTCAGTGATTATAATATTTGGATATTACCTTAAAACTTCTTAAATATCAGAATTTTTAATAGGTTGACCTGAACTTGGTCAGATAACTTCCAGAGGAGACGAATCTGCATGTCTGTTTTAGCGTAGTCCTGCTATTGTTTTTCTAAGGAGAATCCTCATTTTCTTATGTTCAGGGTGCCACCCGGTGTTCCTGACCAACGAACATGTCTGCTTCACCAGAAATTACAGATGCTGAACTGTTGTATTATGAGAAAACAGATAAGGGAGCTGGCGGCTAGGACGTGCTTAGTGGAGGGTGAAGATTGTGAATCTGGTAGGTTTATTTCTATTTGTGCCAGTGTTCAGGCTGGAGTAGGGCATCTGTGTAAGATTATGGAATATTGGCAAAGAAATCGTGTGTGTTCCTAAATTTAAGAGAATGTGTAGATGTTCAGTAGCGTCTTGTATCCTTTTGCAGGCAATTCAGTGGATATTCAGTCCATTGGTAGCATAAAATACTTTTAAAATTACAAAATTTTCCACACCGTGTAATTAGCACATATGCAGAAAACGTTCGGAGATCCTTTCTGTATTATCACAGATTCACTGTAGACAAGTCTTATCATTAATTTTTGGCTGAGATTACATACTTATTTAGAACCGGACATGCGTTCTAGTAATCTTTATAAAATTAACGTTTAATGCAGTGTTCAACACACATGTCTCATAGGGGTTTCACACACTATTGACATCTGACCTTTTCATGGCACTTTACATGTTCATATGTTCCACTGTTGCCACATGCAGTGCCCTCTGTATTTGCCTGTCTGAAAGGTATGATGAACATATGTGTGCGTGGATTTTGGAACATATGTTTAGAATAAATGTTTTATGTTAACACCATGGAAGCAAGTTCCTTGCCCCCCTTTGCCACACCCTGGAGAAGGGTTCCAGGATGTACCTCCAATGTTCCTCTGTAGTCATCTTTCCATGCTCTTCACAAAAATATTGTGAGTGATACCATCGCCAGTGATGGGCGCTGTGGGCTGTCTGACTTGGCTGGAGGCGCCTGAGGGGACTGCAGCAGTGTACAGAATAGGGGAAAACAGGAGTGCCAGCACCCATGGACTTTTCCCTGCTACCTCAGTGTAGAGGAGAAAGTGTTGATCCTTTATGGATAAGTGCATTCATGTGGCATTATCATGTGGTAGTGACAGGTAAAGTAAGGGCCACTATGGTGTAGCAAGGGCCCCTCCTGAGGACAGAGGTAGTGGTAGTACACATGGAGACCTGGAGGCATGAGGAAGGAGCAATGTGCCAATGTAATGTTTACAGGCTTTTGCACTGTTATAAATAGACCCACAGTACTTTATTTTTATGACATGTAACGATAAAAAAAATATAAAGTCCCTATGCTTAATTAAGTACCATGCCATGAAGACTTATGGCTGGTGGAGGTATAGCTTCACCATTTTTCACCTCAGCACAAGACAGAGGTGAGTGGTCAGCTTCACGCCCCAGCTGTTTAACCCCCAGGCAAAGAACCACCAATACCAATTGGATAGAAGGCAGAGTGGGTCCCAGAGCCGTTCTGGATATTGTGTAGAGGAAAATCTCTTGCCCCTCCTGGGAATCTATCCCCAACCATCCGACTTGTAGCCCATCGCTATACCATTTGAGTTGCCCCATCTCTTTACATGATATATAATATTACTACAATCAAAGAAGACTTTAGATGCTATATTATCTGTGAATCATATGCGACATGCATGGTTTAGAAGTGAGGATTTGTGTGTATATCTTCTGGTATGATGTGCACTGCAAAAAGATATTGTTCACAAGTTAACATTCTGTATTTTAAGTTCCCTTTCTGAATTTCTTACATCTGTTTTGGAGTAGGATAAACATAACATCTGGATTACATATTTCTTTAAGGAGGTCTCTTGAATTTTGAAAATCCCAGTTCTTCTTGTCAGCCTTATTCTGTAAGATAACAATTTTCGTTCCTGAAAATTCTGGTCTCTTACTCATTGTTCTGAAGATAAGTTTTCCCTGTAAAAGTTTGTTATGTGCCCTCTCACTAATGTTTTGCATTGAAGAGATTTTTTTAAGAATATCGTCTTCTAGGATGTGACACTGTGTAATGTTCTGAAAGCTCATCAACCTTTCAGAAGAATCTGTTACCTCCATCTTCAGGGTGAAAGAGCAGGCAGCCAGTAAGAAGCAAGCAACAGGAAGCTCTGATTGCTGCATTCTTCTTGCAGGGTGCCTGCTGGATTACTCTTTTACCCTGAAGATGGAGGCAGTAAGTTCTTCATAGCGTTGATAAGCTTGTACCAGACTACACAGAAGATACTACTATTCTACAGTCACTGCTATGAGATCGTCATAAACAACAGAAGGTTTTTTTTTCTTTTACTTAGCGCTTAGAGATATTGCACACAGTTTTAAACTCAATATAGATAATATTAGAGGTTCAAGAATTTGCCCTTTTTGTATTTAATTTGATTTAACGAAGTTTCTTCTTTGTGACTATGCTAGTTAACCTTGATAATGACATTACTTCTTGGAAATATTGCAAATATTCACACAGTATTTTCTTTCAAATTCTGTGAACATTCTTTCTGTAAGATCTTAAAAGTGGATGCTGTCACTTTGAGTGAATACTCAGGAAGCTGCTCCCCCTATACGTATTTTAACCGACTCCCACAGATATTTTGAATTTTTAGTTCATTTGTCAAAGAGCACAATTGTTTTACCTTGTACTAAATATTTTCATTTGTAGACTCAGAAGATGAAGAATTTTTTGACTGTTCTGCAGAAGAACCAGAAGGGGATATGAAAGAGAAGAGGAGAGGGAGTAAACATCGACATAAGCACTCACTGTGGAACCAGCCAGTGGGGAGGTTGAGTAAGCATGGGAACCTACGGCTCCTCAACACTGGGGAACATTTATACATCCCAGTTACACAGGTACAGAGTTTGTTGTTGGTCTTAATTATGTCTGTACGGAGGTGACTGAAAGTGAATAATTCTTTGGGAACCTTTATCAGAAGTAGTTCTTTTTTACCTGCAGAAGTTATGGTTCTCATTCAATTTGTTATTCGCATAATACTGATTTCTCAAGAGCTAGAACATCTGAAAAACTTGAGTCATAAGATGGTGATCTTTGAAACATCTTCCTGAACTATTCAAACAGCAGATGTTACAGACTTTGTGATGTGCTTTAGGGTTGAGAATGGTAAATAGGCAGTGACACTGGTATAGTATACAAAGCTCAGATTTACATTATCCATTTGTGTAGCTGCCAGCTTTAGCGGGTAGAGTGTGTCACGTGGTCAGCACAACAAATCCCCATGACTGTTAATTTCGGTTTTCTAGACCAGAGCCACTACTTTTCCATTCAAGTTGGCACTAACTTCGCCGACAAGCAGTGGTCATTCGGTCAGCATAGTTCACTTGCTGACTACAGGCCACGGAGGTTATATGTGTAACTGATTGATTGGTAGGCATTTAATCCTGATTCATCTGCACTGGGTCATTCTTGATTATCAACATAGGCTAAAAGATTATAATTGTCTGGGGTGACACATTGTACTATGGTAGAATTTTATTGACATTTCAGAGGACTGTGCTGTCTCAGTTGTCAGTATTAAAGACAAAGCTGAGCACAGAAGAAACTGGTGTTGTTATAGGGATGGGAGTTGCTTGGATAGGAGCCCTGAGCAAACCAATGTGAATACAGTGAACAGTGGAAAAATTGGTGGCCCTTGAAATGTCTATTTTGCAAGAGGAGAGAGATAAGAAAAATAATGGCTTTCAGTGGGAGGCATGTTAGGACAGGATGGATGAAGTAAGGTTATAAAAGGCCTCTCCCAGTGATAGAACAGATGGGAGAAAATTAAGACACACTAACAGAGTCTCATAGCAAAAGAGATGGTGGCAGCATATTCCACCAGAAAGTCAGTAAACTTCTACCCTACTACACAGCTTCAATTCCAGAAGACATTATATTTCTTAATCCCTGTTGCTATGAAAATATCACATCTTAACTACAAAATATACAGGGAGGTTCTTATCTTTGTTGACCAGTTCACAGCTCTCCACTTCACTGTGACATGCACCACCGGCTTCGAGGCACATATGAATTTTGCTGATGAATCAATATGCCTGTCTGCCAATAACGTTTGGAATGAAGTAGTTACAATTCACAGATCACAGGATGTGTTGAAAATGCTGTCCCTCTACATGTAGGCATTCCTTGCACAGGCGAATGAGGTCTGATTTATCCTTTGAAGGTCTTATGCAGGAATATTTGCAATTTCCTTATGAATATTTTCTTTTAGTTCTTTTATTCGGGAGTTACTGTGGTAAGACATTGGACAAAGCCTGCATAGATATATGTTCAGTGTGGGCAGTAGCGGAGTCTTGCTGAAACCAGCCATAGAGTCTATCTTCTTCTTTTAACTCTGGAAAGAATTGCTTGAAAATGACCTGCACATATATTTCACAGTTAATTGTTTTGTTAAAAAGCACAGACCCAACAACCTTTCTTCCACATACAGCACACCAGACACTAACTTTCACTGGACAGAGTAGGACTTTGGGGGTTAGGTATGGATGCTGTGAACTCTTGTAGAGTTTATTTTGCATATTCATATACCTCTGCAAGTGAATTTGCACTTTATCAGAAAAAATGTCAATTGTGGATCATTCTCACCTTTGACAACAGACAGTACAAGCTGACTACAAAAATGAACACTGCTGGCTGGATTGTGCAGCTGCACGGCATGTGTTACTGTTGTTTTATAGGGTCTAAGCTTCAGCAGTTGTGTTGTCCTTCTTGCACTGGACATTAACACTGCAGTCTCTTGAACTAGACATTTCACTGATTTTCTAGGTGTATGTTCAAGTCTGGTTCCCATGTCATCTAACTTCTCCTCAGTAAGCCCTTGGTGCTTATGTTTTTGTGTTTTGTCTATTGAGAGTTCTGTTGGTCTAAGTTTATTGACCAAAGTCTGACTTGTTTGTCTGCTGGGAACTCTTTCATCAAAAAATTTACATCAAAATTTTCACCAATACTTTCAAGCAGATCCGTATTTCATGTAGGTGTCATACAGAAATGCACATTGCTCTAAAGCAGTGTTTCTCAACCTTTTTAAGCCCAAGGACCAGTAAAATGTCTGAAAAATTTCTACAGACCACTAAGTTATGTAGGCCTATTCTTTTAACCTATGTGGTATTACCAACATTTTGGACATACTGTTCCACTTATAGCATAATAAATCTAATAGCATGTTTTGAATACATATGGAAACATAATTAATTAAATTGGAAGTAAACTATTAAAAGTGAATCATCATTGTACAAATTTTTAAGTTTTATTAAACAAATAATGAATATGATATAATTAATTCTTACATGCTTATTTAATTTTAATTTGTTTTTGGTTGAATAATTTTTAATTTAATTTAATTTAAGTCTGCTTGTGGACCACGTGTCCCATCATTGCGGACCACAGGTTGAAAATGCTGCTCTAAAGTATACCGCCACATGATGGAACACACTGCTCACTAATTGTAACTGAGAACAAATCACTAATGGAACTGATAACTGCCGCCCACTGCTAACAAATCACAAACAAATTCCCACACATGAACAACCATCAGGCATACTGATTTATCAGCAAAATTCATATGCACCCCCATGGAGGGTGCACCAGTCACCATGAAGCACAGAGCCATGAACTGAAAACAAAAGTAAGAATCTCCCTGTAAACTCAAATTGTGACTAATCTGAAAATTAGTGTCATTTCTTGAGCAGTCAGTAGGTGTTTAGTTATTCAGAGAAGTTGTGGAGGGAGAAGACTGGAAGTGAAGATCTGTATGGGACTAAGAAGACCTTATATAAGGTTAGGGTAGGAGCAAGAATGACCTTCCTCTTTCCACACCTGAGCCAACCTGGCCTTTCCCATTCTTAATAGCCCAGTCAAGTACAGAAAAAAAATTGTGATATCCAGAACCTCTGGCACCAGAGGGTTGCCAGATATTGTAATTTTCTATGTATTAGAACATTATACCTAATACAAATATTATGTTTCTGTGCATTGTCCATTGTATTTTTTTATCTAAAACACTGTCCTGTTTATATTTCAAAACTGAACATTTTGGAGACTGGTTCCTATCTCCATCTTCAGGTGAAACCTACTCAGTTGGGCCCAGTCGATAGAGCTAGTCCCTATTTCCTGCTGTTTCCTTAAAGCCTAATCTCTGGAATGATTTCTCATGCAATTTATGGTAATTATATATGATCTCTGTAGGCAGTTGTTCATTCATAAGGGACACAGTCACTTCCTTTAAAAATATTCCATATGCACCATTCATAATCATCTTCACATCTCATTTGGTGAAGGAAAAATTATCCCTGGGCTTAATTAATTAAACTCCATGCCATGAAGACATACAGGAGAGTGGAGATATAACTCCACCACCCTTAACCTTAGCAAGAGATAAAGGTGGGTGGACAGCTTCATGCCCCACCTGCTTGACCTCTTGTGAAACAGCCTCCATTACTCATTATGTAGGAGGGCTGGGTGGGCCCAAGAGCCAAGCTGGATGTTATGGAAAAGAAAGAAATTCTCTTGCACCTGCCTAGAATTTAACCCTGATTCCTTCATTGCCCAGCCCATAGCCTAGTCTCTATACTGACTGAACTATCCTGGTCTTTCCCATCTCATTTGACACTCTAAATATAATTTATACAGTTAAAACAGTTCTGTTAACCTTTATGGGATGGGCCATTTAATTTCCGGTAGGGGCAGCTGGACGGAGTTTATTTAAATGCCCGCCCTTCTAGAGCAATGAAATTGTAAGCATGTTTCTAAAAATGGTGTGATTTCTACATTTTTTATAATAAACGAACGAAATGAATGCTCCTTTAATCTAGAAAGAATATAGAATCAGATATTCTAATTTACAGATTTTAATATCTGTAAAAAATTTTTACACTGATTCCAAAAAGAAAAAAAATCCTGAAATTCATACATTTTCTGCTCCATGCGATCCAGCAGTGTAATACATTTTCTGCACCATGCGTTTTATTAGTGTAAGTCCTTCGTGGCGACCTCACATACAATGCTATCTCTTGTTGAAGCTTATTTATCGTATGGGACATGTCGGTATGCAGGACTGAGGGCGTCTCAAATCGCTCGCTGTGTAATATCTGTTAGAAAGACACAGGAGTACATTCTTGGAATATGGTGTTGCCAGATCGGTCATTCGTTCATTCATTGCAGTCAAACCATTGTGTTTGTAACGATTTTGAAACATCGCAATATAAGGTTAGCCACCCATGACATCATCTAGCATGTTTGAAGCAGATATTGAGTTCAGCCAAGACGTGAATGAGAGTTTTGTATGTGTGGGCGTGAGGTTATGATTTATGGCTACTGGTCGTGGTCTAAGCACAGAGAGATTTTGTACTGGCAGTAAACCATTCACTGCTAGAGAGCCGTATAGTTCACCATGGCCACACGACGACGTCGTATGGAAGATGCTGAAATTGAGAAACAGCTGTTCAATGACACAGATTCGGACTGCTATTCAACCGATTCTGAGAGTGGCGAGGAAAGTTGGAGTTCTGATTCCGCGGACGAAGGGTCATCACCTTCGTCGGCAACTTGGGGACCGCCAGATCAGTGTGGCTGGAGAGGTGTGAATAATTATTCCGGTGTAGCTGCGGGGATAAATATCACTGCAGCTCCACACGTGAATGAGGATTCCATCCCTCTCTGCGTTTTCATGCTGTACTTTGCGGGGATTATCCATCTGCTGGTGGAAGAGACGAATAGGTACTATCACCAGTACCTAGACAGACTTGAAGACGGACCATCTCCGCGGCCTGGCGTAACTGAATCCGAGATGTTTCTGTTTCTTGGAATAATCATTCAAATGGGACATGACATTAGAGACACACTAAAGGACTACTGGTTGACTGCTGAACAATTTGCCACGCCTTTCTACTCTAACAAAATAAAACGCGACCGTTTTCTTCACATTCTTCGTTTTCTACATTTTGCAGACAACAGTACAGAAACTGACAGGAATGCCGACAGTTATGACCGACTATGGAAAATTCGGACCATCTTCGACACTCTCAATGACGCATATCAAAAATATTATAACCCTTCCGAACATTTGGCCATAGACGAAATAATAGTTAAATTTAATTTAAAAAAAATCTTTACACGCGTGGAATGCGCGACATCATATGATGTCGTTCGGGCATTTGGCCTAACTTTAACGTTATATGACGTCGCTAGATTACATTAGATCATGCAGGAAGGAAGGCTGTCTCCTTATAAAGGTGGTGACCAAAAATCATGTAAATAGAACAATTTATATTTTTAATTTTATTTTAAGAAAAACCTTACACGCATGGAATCCGCGACATCATATGATGTCGTTCGGCCAACTGCCCTAACTTTTAATGACATCATATGATGACGTTTGTTCGATAAAGGTTAAATGAAATAACAGTCTTAATTTTAAAGCAATGGTGTGTATGAATTGAAGTGTCAGTTTAACTGAATAGGAACCAAGTCTGAAAACTGAGGATCAGGTGGAAGAAGATGCACAAGTTCTGCTTCAGCTGGGAACGGATGCTCAGGGTGCAGAGATGCGAGCGCGCATGATGAGTGCTTCTCTGTTGTCAGACATGGAGTCCTTCAAGGTACTGTAAAGGCAGGAGGTGATCTGGGCATGGGTTGGAGGACAATTCTTGAAGGATCTGACAACTGATTCATTATACCAATGTCGCGTTGGACATTGTCCATTATCTGAAGTATGTTTGATGGACACATTGTTTCAGGAGTTGGCTCTCTGCAGTAGATAGACTTGTTATAGTGCAAGGGTCCTTTAATGCTTGCTTCTTTAATCTAATCTGATATGACTCTTAATTAGACCATATTGGACATAATGAGATAGGTTTTAACTTAGTCATCTATTTATAATGTTGTATTTCAGCATCCTGTTGCACTTCATTCTTTCCACATATTCATTTCCATTTTTCTTATACTAGAAGTTTTAATTTAAAATGTAATTTTTAATATTTGTGTCTATTTATATATCTGCATATCTGTCTACTTACATCTATTATCTATTTATAATTAGTGTTAGTAGGGCAGTGTTTGTTGTATTATTTGTTGGTTTGTTTTTATGTCTATGGAAACCACACACAAAATTTATTTCATTTAGGTAATGAAGAACCAAAAGATGGTATTTCAGTTGGTATTACAGTGCTGCCAATCATTACAGATTTTACTTTTCTAATGAAAGGTACCTCTATAAAATATTGTTGTTATGCTTTTACTATGATGATGTATCTCTAGAAATTTTGGTAGCATGCACAGTTGATGAAATATGAGTCTAGAGTAACAAATGTGTAAGAGTCGATCAGTTTTTACCGCCCTCCTCTTCATCGTCTTTTTTTACCGCTCAGTAAGACTTCAAGCCTCTCGAGTGGTCGTCACTTATACCTCGCCGTCACGTTCGCCCCTTTGTGGTCTGCACTTTCATCCGCCGCTTCCTTGTAGCTGTCTGGTTCAGGGTAGGGTGTGGGATTGCTCTGAATTTGAATTTGTATGGGCGCCAGTGGACTTGGGTGAAATCCACGAGTTTGGAACGGGGAAAACAAAGGTGGGGATTTGGATAGGCGGGCGTTTGGGGTTCCGACTGCTCAGATGGTAGGACGAGATTCTGTCTCAGGACGACTAATGGGCCTTGCTCACACAAGGAGAGAGAGAACACTTAAAACTCGCACTTCACCAACACTGTTGCTCTTTATTGTAGATGTGCACTACAATCACACATTACCAGGCTGTAGCACTTTGAATTTGTACACCGGATTCGGGCCAACACCAATTTAACGTCCGGGAGGTTACTCATGTTACTCCCTTTTTGCTACTCACTCCTGTTACTCACTCTTGGTGACTGCCTGCTCTTATTCCCTTGTAATGACTGCTCTTATTGCCTTGTAATGACTGACTGCTCTTATTGCCTTGTAATGACTCACTGCTCTTGAGAGGCAGAAGTTCCGACGTTTCCGGAAACGCCTGGATTCCTCTCCTCTGAAATTTTGCTGATTGGCTGAACCTAAAATTTGGGTGTTTCTCTCACTTGCATTCAGCCAATCCCTAACCAGATCCATGTTAATTTGGGCCTAAGTAGAACACGGTCCCTCTGACAGCTCTCAAATAAATGGAGGTACGCTAACGATCGCTCGGTACGCCCCTTCGAAAATTATTGCGACTCGTATCTGTCAAGTCTCAAATTTTCAAAGACTCGAACCATCGAAGATAACCATTGAAATCCCCAGAAAACACAGCGGGATACTTCCTGCTCCGTTCTGGGTTTTCAAGTGACCTGCAGCTTGCTTGTCCCTCAGAAAGACCAGATGTTGTCCTTGGCGTCTGCTGGTGCTGGGGTCAATTCTGTATCATCTATTGTTTACAGTAGTACAGTTCGTTTACATGTAGTACATTGTAATTAAAAATGTAAATCAACAACATTGCTGAGGTTCCTGCATGGTGCGGTTACACAGTGAAAGGTTATCTGTGAAAACTGTAGCTAAAGATGGCAATTACCAATTTTCCTATTGAATTTTCAATGCACAATCTAGTTGTAATTTAATATTATTGTTCAAAGTAGTGAGTGATTGGTATGTCATCATAACTGATGAATGGATCCATAGACATTTGTTTATGATTAAGCTGTTCAGGAAATCTTCTGTTTTTGTGGAACCTGTGTGTTCATCACTGTCATTATAAAAATCGTCTATTGAACCCCTTCCTGAGCCAGTTTAGTGTAATCAACTTTATACTTTCACAAGCAATTCCTCCAACATATTTTGGAATTGAATCTGCCATATCTGAATGTGATAAGTAGCGATACAGCATAGTTTATTCTCAGCACCTCAGCATATCCAGACATCTAAGTCAAGAACCATGTTACAACACAAAGGATTTGATTGTACTTAAAACAGGGTTATTAGTAGTGAGAGAAAATATGAGAAGATTTCTATCTCTTTGGGAGGTAATGTTATGTGGTCTGGTGACTGTTGGTAACGTTTTGGAGGAACCTGCTGCCTCGATCTTCAGAACAGCATGTTCCTCTGAAACACTGATAATGAACTATTAGACTGTGTGGCATCGCAAGCCAGGAAAAAATAAACTTCATAGTCACTGACATGAGAACCTCAAATATAAAAAAAAAATTTGCTTACTTTCCCATTGTGTATTACTAGCTGGAACCAAATTTACTGCAGAATGACCACACATTACATTTACTGTATGTGTCACTTCCAGGCTGCAAATCCAGGATCCATTTTGGAAGACTTTATTCGTTGGTACTCGCCAAGGGATTGGATTGAGGAAGGTGAAGTGGATGAATATGGACAAAGGAAAGGTACCATTAAATTTTGTTCAGATTCTTCCTGCAAGGTTTGGAAATTAAATAATTTATTAAAAAAGAAGATAAAACTATCCCTTTAACAGGCCGTGAAGGCCCCTAGGGTTTGGAGATGTCGAGGCTCCCACATTTTCTACACCCTTGGCTGACAGATGGTGGTAACATTGTCAGCCTTATGAACCAGCCACCCTGTACTCCCTAGGAAGTTTCCTGGTACTCATTTCTTTTAGAAGCTGAATCAAACCCAGCGCCATAATGCAGCTGGAAGGATTAGTCGATTGAAAAATCCAGTGACCTCATCAGAAATCGAACCCACAACCTTCTGGCAACAAATCATAACTGCATGTAATTACAGCACTATCACTAATTCACATACTCTAAAAGTCACTTTAGCATGCACTAAGTCTTCTGAGTCTGCTGTGTTTTCACCAGTCATTGCCTGCCAATGGATAAAAAAAATGCTCTCTTCTGCTCACATCATTACCAGCTGGAGACTATCATGAAACTGACCTGTTGTTCCAACTCAACTCCTTGCTGCAACCGGCTGACTCTCAAAGTCATAGTTTTAACTGACCAGATTAATTGTATTAATTAACTCATTTTTTGGACTCTAAAAACAGTTTTAGTAGAAATTTCTGTCTGAGCTGTCTGACCACATAGAAGACACTACATTGCTATCCGTTCTTGTGTTGTTGTATATTGATTTATTGCTGTGGAAAAGTGTTTATTGTGCCGTTGCCTAGCAGTGGCCACATCCATTCGTTCCACTGTTGTTGCTTTAAGCCATCATGTCACAATCCTTTACACTTTATCTCCTTCAGAGTAGTTACCTTAAGCATCTACACATAGCTGTAAGCATTCCTACGTGCATGCAAGTATTCCAGGAAGTCAGTTTGTGAGCACCCACCCAGTAGCTCTGTCATTTTTTTTTTGTCTTCAAGATACTAAAAATTTGTTCCCTTCAGTGAACATTTTAATTTAGGAAAGACTAAAATGGTGCACAGAGCGAACTATTAAGAGTAAGGGGAGTGAATGAATACAGGAATTGTTTGCTGGCCAGAAACTGCTGATATAGTAGCATATTTAGTGCTGGGGCATGGTCCTAGTGCAGAATTGAATCGTTGTCCCACAGCTCTAGTCTCCTTCTGCAAATCCTTTCTTTCAGTTTTGACAGAAGCTCAGTATAGTACATCTGATTCTAATTGACTCAGTAGGACATAGTCAGTAATAACATTCCTTTAACGATGAAGCACAATCTATCACTGTAGGTCATGGTGCAAGGGCCGAGAAGGCCCATCCCTTATACATTCATTCATTCCTTTAACGTTGAAGAAAACGATGCACATTGTCTGAATATTGGATTTTGATATTCTTGCTTTCCTTGGCCTTGGAGATTGAGGTGATTTCTGCATCATATTGAATTTGCAAGGTTTCATCATAGATGACCACACTGCTAAAAAGTTCGGATATTACTTGAAGATTTCTTCCACAATGTAAACACAGATTTTTCTTTTTAATTATTGTTCTTTGTTCCAATTCTTCAACACCATCTTGGCTCAGACTTTTATCACGTTAAATTTCTTTTTGTTATAATTTGTCCTACAGTTCCCTAATCCATATTTAATTTTTCTACTACCATTCTGATGCTCAGATGATGATCATCGCATGGTAGAGTCCTTCCTTTTTCCTCATGCTCATCAGTTTTCACTGTTAGTGAATGACCAGGTCACTCATCATCTTCTGCCTCTTCTCTTCCTTTATTCTGTATAGTCTATCAGCAACAACTCAGGTGCAACAGAGATAGCTGGAACCAAAGACCCTCAACATCTCAACATACACCGTGTATACAGGTTCTGTTAGGACTGTGTTCATTAAAAATACAAGATGTGAATTATTTTCAAAATTTCACTCTTCTTATTCAAAAAAGTCTCCTTCTGAGTCAGTACATAGCTGGAATTGGTTGAAAAGTTTTCGAAAACAGTCCTTTTGTGGAATTGCATTTAAAACTGCGGAACATTCCTTTTGGATGTCCTGGATGGTGTCGTGATGGTCTCCTTTCATCGCCAACTTTACTTTTGGGAACAACCAGAAATCTGCTGGAGCCAAATCTGGCGAATACGGAGGATGATCAAGGACTGTGATCCCCTTTCTGGCCAAGAAATCGCGCACGATCTTCGATTTGTGTTGTGGGGCATTGTCGTGGAGGAGTGACCAGGAACCTTGCTCTCGATATTCAGGTCAAATTCGAAGAATTCTCGCCCACAAATAATTGAGGACTCAGACATAATAATCAGAATTCACTGTTTGACATTCTGGCAGAAATTCCTTGTGAATGATTCCTTTGGAATCGAAGAAAACGGTTAGAAGTGTCTTTACTTGACTCTTTTGCATGCGCACTTTCTTTGGTTTTGTCTTCTTTGGGCTCAACCATGCTGCACTCTGCCGCTTTGTGACAGGCTCATATTGAAAACACCATGTCTCATCACCAGTAACAATCGATTTTGTAAATTTTATATCACTTTGGGCTGACCGTAACATGTCTCTGCAGTGTTCCACTCTGGCATGTTTTTCATCGCCTGAAAGCTAGTGCAGTACAAACCGCGCGCAGACCTTCCATTTGCCCAAATCGTCAGTCAAAATTTGATGCACAGTACTTTTTTGTATTCCATTCCCAAAAGCTCCTGGATGAGTCTTGCTGAAACACGTCAGTCTGATGCAAGGATTTCAGTCACTTTTTTACATTTTCTTCAGTGCGACTTGTTGTCAGCTTTGATGCATGTCGAGCGTCTTCAGTGTCCTCCCTGCCGTCACGAAATACAGCACACCATCAAAAATGTTTTGAGCGACTCAAACAATCACTACCATACACATTTTTCATCATTTCGTACGCTTCTCCGGCTGTTTTGCCTAACTTCAAACAAAATTTGATATTTTCTCTCTGTTCAACTGCCATTTTGACGAGCATCAGAACAGTACTGTTACATTCAAGCTCAGAACACATGATTGCAGCGATGCTTGCACTTTGAAATTATAGACGGCCACAGCTGAAACTTCAAGAATCTTAATGCCACAACTCACCAACAGATGGCATTCCAGGGCAAAATTTAAAAAAATGAGTAGTAACGGATCGTGGACACACTGTGCATTTGTTTTCCTTCTTGAATATAATTTTTAAATGACTGTGAAGTTGTTAATGATGTGCACTTGTTCAAATAATATTCATTAAAGCATGTCACTGCTCTTTGTATTATTTTTTTTAATTATGTTGTTGTAGGATGATTTTCTTGTTATCATATATATTGTAACTGTTTTTGTGTCCCATTGGGTGTGCCACTATCTTAGTTGTTTGTATCTGGTGTTACTCTGTGTTCCTTGTACACGGTGCAGAGTGCAGTAGACTCCCTTAAAAAAATATGTTGCCTGAAGATGGCTCTTTATGGCTGAAACATGTAACATAACACTGAATGTACATATATTTTAATAATTTTAATGACATTTTAAACATTTTACAAACATTTAGTGAATTAAGTATGAATTAGTGTTGTTAAATTAATAGTGTTGCATTATAGACGGAAAGCAAGACTGTAAGTGATACCTCAATGCAACAGGATACTGACATATAATATTAGCAACATAACCTATCTGTTGAGCTATATTAACCCTCAGGCAGTTAATGCTTGGCCAGCTGTTTTGAATTCTGTTAAGAGCGGCATCATATTGTGCGTAGATATGCCCCCTACATTTCATAAGGAAATAAAGTAACACACTTTCAAGTGTTGCAGATTGATACATGCCAAATAAGGGGACCCAGTCATAGTTTCACAAATGTACCACTGGCTTGTAGCTTCAGCCAGATTACAAGTTTTCCTCAAAACATTTTGTGGTGGCCACAGTTCATCTACCATGGTATCTGGCTTGCAGGTTTTTGTCTTTTCTTCTTGACAGTGTCACTATTAATGTATGACTCAACAAAAGTATATCATTTTGATTATTTGTTTATTTAATGGCTCTCTGTCAACTGCAATTATTATGCAGCATTGAAAACGGGATAATATTTGACTGCTTTATTGAAAAAGATTTGGACATAAGTGGTTTTGGCATGTTTCAATGTATTATTCTGTTGTTAAAATAATAGTCAAAAGTCAAGTTTAAGTACAGTTTACTCTGATTCCAATAGCAACAACTCGCTATGTTTAAAGCACCTCATCTGTGGGTATGAATCAAGCCACCATTATGAAAAGGGTTGTAGTCTGTATATTTGGTTCTTTAAATACATTACAGGTTCTCTCAGTGCTCGTATGCAGATTAAAGGCAACATGTGGCTTGAGGTATGGGAAGCAGCAAAACCTGTACCTGCAAGACGTCAGAAGCGATTATTTGACGACACCCGGGAAGCACAGAAGGTGTTACACTTCTTAGAATCACAGAAGCCCTCTGCTGTAGCGCAGTTGCTTCTGCCTGTATTGACGCATGCTGCCATCTGCAGGCTGTTGCAGGAACAGAAGGAAGATCTGTCAATGTTATCAGAATCATTTCGGCAGATAATAAAGACTGCTGAAAGAATCACGCGGAACCCAAGGCCAACACTTCAGCAGTATGATGTGAGCATACTCTGATTTTAAGCATTTCATTTCCAATTTATAGTGGGTATCTGAACATCCTCTGGGCTCAAATTTTGTGTGCTTTGTGTTCTTGGTACATATGGTTAACACATGATAATGGGATCATTCCTGTCCATCTGTCTGACTGTCTACATGTTCATCTCCCAAGCTACTTAATAGATCTAATCAAATTTGATGTGGAAATATAGCTATAAAGTGAATTTCATTTTTTGTGCATGCTCTCCTGTGTTAGTGACAAGACATGGGATTTGGGTTGATAATTGAATTTATTGAATGCTCATGACTCATAACTACTATGATTGTAACATTTTCGCTAATATACCCCCTCTACAAAATCACTACAGCACAAACCAAGTCTTCTCAGTCTGTTGCAGCTTCTAACAACTGGAAATTTAGTATTTAAGTTGGCATACATATTTCTTAACCTACCATACTAAAAATAAATTAAAATATATTTTTTAAACATTTTGTAAAATACTTTTAATATTTCTAGTATTCCATAATATATTCAACACAATATAAATCTTGACAGATGGTATACTTTTTATATTTTATNCACGAGCGGAGCCGAAGATAGCCGAGCCCCGTAACCGGGTAACTATGCAAGGCGAATCAACAGCGGTGACGTAACAGGATGACGTGGCACTCATTACGCAACAAGCAAGCACTGCAGCTATATAAGTGAGCTGCACAGTGGCTGCGAGTCAGTTGTACTGTGTCAGTCAGTGAGTCCTGGAGCTACCGCCGAGTTAGCCAGCAACTAGTCAGTGGTATTCTGGCATTTCGAGTGTACTAGTTGTGATACTGCAGATAGCAGTAGCCGTAAATCTGTAATTTGGGTGATTGTAAGTGCGAATGTGAAATAAAATTCGCTACATCAAATACGGCATGAAGTTATTTGTTGCGATATACGCCCGATACGCGACAATATATATTTTATCTTTTATCTTATTTTGTATCTTCTACTTAATTGTAAACACCAACTTGAGGCAAAAAAATTTTATATTAGTATATAATGACACATTGCACTGGTATGGATCCATATCGGTAGTTCAGTAACTATATGTATTCCTTATATGTAACTGCATGATGATGGTTTTATGTGGCCAAAACATGTAGCAGGAATAAAGATCGAATTGTAGAAACATTAAAAACTGAGTTGTGTTGACCGTTAAAATAATTCCTGTATATATCTGCTAGATTAAGTAAAACAAAACAATACTCATGTCTACTCAACTTTATGTATCCTTTATGGTACATACATGATATAACTTTAATTTCTTACAGGAATTGGCCCTTCAAGTTGCTGAAGTAGAAGAAGTTATTGCCCAGGCAAATTCCTTGGAGGTAAAATTCAGCTTGGCACCTGAAACTGTAGAGACTCCGGAACTTCGCGCATTTCTCTTGAAACTTATGCATTTGTCAGAAGTTGATGTTCCAGGTGGGCCCAGAGGTGCTATCGGATCCAGGATACGAACCATGTTCTCAGATGCACAGAAGGTAAATGGTTGCCTATTTGAACATCACTTTCTTGGTCCACTGTTTTTGGAAGGCAATTTTTGAAATGGTAGAAATAACAGATTGAAACATCTTTATACAGCAGAACCTCCATTTTACACTTTTTAAGGGGGCCACCTAAAACAGATGTAAAATTGAGGGAAGTGTAAAAACAGAGAAGTGAAAATGATGTAACATAAAGACAATTTAGTTGTGCTATAACTTTGGAATATCAATTAAAGAATGCCTGTTTGAACACTCAACTTTGTAAATGTAGATGCAAGTGTGGCTCTTGGTTTATATTATGATGCTTTGTCGAGTGCTGTTTTTATGTAGCATCTGTAAGATAAAATGGTGATTATAACCTATGAATGGAAAGGATGAGGAAGCAAGTGGTCATAATATAATCTAAGGCACTATCCTAGCATTTGCCTGGATGGACTGGAAAATATTGTACATACCTAGTTACACTGTTTCTTAACCATTCAATAAAAGTTTTCTGTTCCCGTTTTTCTTTCGTTCTCAGCATGTGTAATTCATTCTCAGCTTTACTACACATTGCAGTACTCATAATATTGTTCTGGCTGCTTCCAGTCCTTTCAGTGCATCCAAGAATGTTGCTTTATGTCCTGCAACTTCCTCTTCCTCTTCTGTTTTTTCTCCTGGCCTAGTCAAATGCTGATCTAACACCTGGTCAACACTCTGGAGCCCGCAATCCTTGAGAGCACTGTCACATGCTGTGCAGTCCTCAAACTGCACTCCAAAAGGCTGTAAACTGTGCCAGTCATTCTCTTCATCTTCACTGAGTTCCACTGCACTATCATCATTGCTGTTAATATGATCAGCTGAAAAATAACACTTCACAGAGGAATTCCTAAGTGTAGTGGGTAATACCTATCTCTAGGCTTCTGCTATGAATTGCATTCCAAACAACCTCCTGCTTCATACAGTAAAACCTGTCTTAAACAGAATCTCAAGGGACCAGAAAAAATTTCTGCTGAAGCCAGGTTTCTGTTTAATCAAGTTATACTATAATAACTAAACCAGGACATAAACGTATTTGAGACAAAACAAAACAACATGCTCATTAATTTATTCACACTATAATCATTGAACACATGCAAACATTACACTGAACAGGAAAAAATTGCAGTACTCACTTTTTATAATTTTACCAGAACTCCAGCAGAGTTTTTTGCACGCAGTTTACTCTCTTGGCTGCCTGACTTTCCACAAACACTTTAGCTTGAGAAATTAGAGTAAGCATTCTGTTGCACGGCAAACTCCTGCAGTACCTGTAGACTGTTGGCAGCATCCTGATAAGTCTTCACTCTACACTTTTCTTCTTTTATCACAATGTTATTTTCCTCTTCCTCCTCCTCCTCCTCCTCTTCGATTTTCTCTAAAATTCTCAACTAATACATCGATATCCATCGTGTCTGGTTCTGTTTGCCCATCTTTGTCTATGTTGATGTAGTCCTCAGCATTGCAATTACTGAAAGCAGCTTCATTCATGCAATGTTGTAAGTCCTTCTGGTCATTCTCATTTTCTACACTAGGAGTAACTTCTACCATAGAAAATCCTGCTTTTTCAAAACACTTTGTCAGAGTTTCTGGTAACAACTCCTTTACTGCTTGACTTATCAAAATAACCGCATCTAGAACCGAGACAGTTCTTGCAAGTTCAAAGGCAGATGATGTAGAATCTATATTGACGAGCAAAGATTTCATTAATAATGTACGATAGTGGACCTTAACATTCCAAATGATGCCCTGATCTATTGGTTGAGAAACACTAGTGATGTTTGGAGGTTTGTTTGTGGTTTGTTTGGTGTTTGTTTGTTCATATCCCTCGATTATGGATGGCAATTTAGTAATTTAGAATCTGTTGATTCATAGAGTGAAAGCTGAAACTGAAAGCTATTCTCAAACAAGCAGCAATGTACAAGGCCTTCTCTTAGAAGTGGTGTCATGGAAGCATTACTCATAACATGGTTGTCTGAACCATGCAGCAAGTGGAGATTGCAGTTTCTCCAGTGGTGAACGTGTTAGTGATTTCTGCTGCTTGGAGAAAGGTCCACACTGGACATACTCTCTTTCAATTTCTCAGTGGTTCTTCACAATAGTGTTTAGCATGAACACTGAAAGTCTCAAGCATGATGCCACTGCAACACATGAGCATCAACTTGCTCAAAAATATTAATTTTGTCACTTATTGTAAATGGTTTACATTTTCCTTTATTATCCATATTTCACCCTCTTGCTGTGAATAAATTTGGTCTCTATGAAATGAAGTCACACAGGCACTGGAAGATTGAAGAATGTAACCTGGGTCCATTTCTGTTGAACGTTTCATTTATGAAAACCCACTTGCTATGTTGCAGTGGTCATTTTTTGGAACACTTGTCACACATGGGAGAGACAAACTGCTCTCGTTGATTCACAGTTATACTAAGACACAGCAGTATCAAAGCTGGCCTACCACGTGATCTGCTTGTAATGCAGTGGTGGAAAAATCCCCTTGTGCATGATAGGCCTTTGTGAAGTCACATGTTGCCCGCGAATTACTTGGACTTGTGCCTCAGACAATTCATGATATGAATGTTTAGACTGAAGCATTTGTGACTGCTCATAGGGAAGGCAGTCTGTTGCCTCGAATAAGAAATGTAATACCAGGTAAATTTTTATAATCAGGATTAGGAAAATGAAGTGACAATTCAGGAAAAACACAAAGTTGAAGAAACATAAAACCTGTTGAAGTTTTGCATTATTGTTAGGGTATTTGGCCAGTATCATGTAAAAAATTGCATAAATTCAACAAAATACATATTTTTTTGATTGAAAAATTGAAGTTTCACTGTATTAGGGTCTGAAAAATGAAACAACTCTCCATGCAGGCAAATGTTGGATCATGATTGCTTCCTTTAATAGGTTCCCTGATCATCTGAATTTATTATATATTTCACATACATTTGACAAGAAGTCATTAAATGAACTAACAACAGCTATCTGCCAATATTCATAGCTATAGCATATCAACTGTGTTTCATCCAGAGGAAAAATAAAATTTGCAGAAACAGGGTATGCTGAATATTAAGAAACAATCCCAAAAGAAATTTCCAACTGGTGTACTGAAGATACAACAAAAACAAATACAGGTCAGCTAGAAGACCATGTATGTAAATGAAAGTGCTTGTCACTGCAAAAGGCTACTTATGTAACTGATGAGAATAGCACTCTGGACAAAAAGAAAACAACAAGAGGCAGTCATTGTCATTTCTTTACTTATTAAGGCTTATCACCAGCTAGGCTATATTATTCAGTAACATAATTTACTCCATGTCTCCAGACTTTTGCCTGCTTGACAGATTGAAGGCTGTAATTCATGTTTAAAATGGGAAGTAACATGTACAGTTTAATGCATAATTTGAATGACAGGGTGGGGTTTTGATATGGTATGGTTCACAGCATTCTGTCTCAGTCAGAAAAATATTTGGTCTTTTCTCAAAAGATTCACACAGTTATCAGAAACCTTCGTAGATCACTGAACAAGGTTACAGGAATCAGTTTATGTAAAGATCTTCTAGCCTACTTTCCTTATTGTATTTCCTACCTTGGTAAATCTTGATTAAGTTGGCAGATGTTAATAATATTTGGTATGAGCATCCTGCCACTAGTGACCACCTCATCAGTATGCCAACAGGGCAGATGTGGGTTGCTGGAACACCAGCATGTGTGTGGCCCTATCTTTTTGTGTGGTGATAAATCTTAAAAAGTGCAACCTTTGTTACAGTTTTTTATGTAATACAAATATTGCAGTCATACAAAATCTGTGTTTACCTTTTAGTATCATAGTAATAAATAGGTATGTGAAGTTTAGTATTGAGATATGTTATAAGAATACCAAACTATCAAGTGTCTGATGTAGAAGGTTTGGTAGTAAGATGCATGGTAAGTAAAAGGCTTGAAAGCACTTCCGTAAATCCTCTGTTACTAATTAAGGAGAAATTTATTTATGTTATCTTTTTGCATAACTTTCTCTTGAGGTTGCACAGATGGTGTCGGACATGGAGCCCCTTAATCTTGCTGAAGAGACGCCATGGAGCATCAATTCTAGTAATTTCCCACAACCCAGTATTCGTGAATTTGTGATGCGTGTATGGGCAACCCGGCCTGCCCCCAGTTCAAGGCTCACACCACAGCGACTCACAGCAATACTCAAGAAGAAGGAGTTTCGTCTTGCAGGTTGCTTTTGTCATGACACAACATTCCAATAATTTGTGACTGAATAGAACTTCACCATCTCTGCGTGATATATCCAGGATTCACACTTCACAACGCATTTCAGAATGAAGGGGAACACTTTACATGCAGTCAAAATGTCAGAATAATTTCTGAATGTATAAACATCTGTCATCTCTTATACATTTCAAGGTCTGTATCATTACTGGAAGCCAGATTTGGCATGCTTTTGTAATGTGTTAATCTCTTATAATGTCTGTTTCCTTCCTGACATGTGTTGCATTATTAAAAAGTTTGCTTTGCAAAGGTAATTTGCTTATTTTCATGTTACAAATGTGATTGTAGAGGCTAGGTAAATAATGTGTTTTATCAGCACTTTGAAACTGAAGAAAAATAAAATCATTTTTCCTTTTTTGTAAAGAACTGTAAATAGTTTTGTTGTGAATTATCTATAATCTTCATAAGAGAATAAAAGTGTTTGTTTTCCAAAGGTAAAAGGTAAAGCTGTCCCTGTGCTTATTTAATTAAGCTCCACACCATGAAGATGTATGGGGGAGTGGAGGTATAGCTCCATCATTCTTAACTTCAGCACTGGATGGAGGTGAGTGATCGGCATCATGCCTCCGCTGCTGTACCTCAGGGAATCACTTGCTGGTACCCACTGATACGAGGCTAGATGGGCCCTAGAGCTGCTCTGGACACTATGGATAAGAGAAAAAAAACTCTTTCCATTGCCAGGAATCAAACCCCGATTCCTTGGCCATCCAGCTCGTAGCTTGTCACTATGCCAAGTGAGCTATCCTGACCTACACTACCTAATGTAGGGCCTTGAAGTGATGCAGGTAATATGTGATATTTTTGAAAGATACACAGCATTCTCATATATTCCTCCAACAAAAACAGTAACAGTAATAATAATATTAACAACACCAGTCTCAAATATATTTACAGCTGCAATCAAAAAGAAGTCTAACTCAAGTATGGTGCAGCCCTTTGACCCTCTGTGCTTTAACTCAGCACACTAACACATGAACTAAGTTGTGTTATCTGATTGGATTATAAATGTACGTTTCTAGTATCGAAATACAGGATCATCACCAAATTTTAAAAAGGCCATCATGTGACTGTATCCTGAGTCTCTTTAATTCAGTCCACACTTTCAAGCTAATTTCCCCAAGATCCATTTTAATAGTATCCTCACACTTAGCAAGTTAATGGAATGGCATTATTCTTGGCTTCTATTCAAGAGGTAACCATTGGTTACTGGATCTTGATTGAAATTTTTTCTGGTATTGAACATTTTATCAGGTGAATGCTAGTCACTGTCCATGTTTTCTTTTCCTTCTCATTTCACAATAAGTAGTCTTCATTGCTGAAGAAAGTAATTGAATTTACTGAGAAAAGATTAATGCATTTCTTATTTTTTTCATGCATGACACATTATTCTCCCTGGTTTAATTAGCTAGATAACAGGACTTGAAGAGTACAAAGCATGGATCTACTCATGTCTTTTTCTCACCCTTCTTTATGACCAGGTGTGTTTGTCAGTTCTTTATCCTCAAAGAATCACCAGTCTGTATCCCCCTCCCCCAGAGTGAGCATAAGAGCAAGCAAGTTTCACCAGTCTGTCTCCCCCTCCCCCAGAGTGAGGATAAGAGAGCAAGCAAGTTTCATCAGTCTGTCTCCCCCTCCCCCAGGGTGAGCATAAGAGAGCAAGCAAGTTTCACCAGTCTGTCTCCCCCTCCCTCAGAGTGAGCATAAGAGAGCAAGCAAGTTTCACCAGTCTGCCTCCCCCTCCCCAGAGTGAGCATAAGAGAGCAAGCAAGTTTCACCAGTCTGTCTCCCCCTCCCCCAAAGTGAGCATAAGAGAGCAAGCACATTTCACATCTAACAGGTAGAATTTCTTATGTTGGTTGCATCAAGACAACTTTTTGTGTATAGGTGTACTGCATATTAAATGTTTGCTGTATGTTTCGGCGTTTTGTTCCTCATCAGGAATTGTACAGATAATGTTAGCTTGACTACTGTTTCTCTACATTCAACAACGTTTATATTTGGTATACTGTGTTATGGGTCTTTGCATTGAGGTGTGATGCCCCTAATGACATCTATTAAAATATTACATATAGAAATGCCCTATGTTGATTGTTCAAGGCCTTTCAATTTAAAAATTCTTATATTTTCTTTCAATGGCTATGGATTTGTTTTGGTTAAATTTTTTGTTTTTATATAAGCGTATATGTTATCCACTGGTGGCCTCATTACATTTATTATGTTCTGGTGCAGGCTGTTGTATTTGTCATTGTTAATGAGGTTCCTGCTGGTTGTGGTCTTGTATTGGTGGACCTTCTATTGCAGAGTGAAAAAATTAGTTCAATATATGAAGGGGGACCCAAAAATAACCGGAACCGACCTGTTGCGTGCGCATGCTTTGTAGTTACGAGTTGTGCTGCTAGGTGGTGTTAGCTGGGGGTCTCCCGCGACTGTTAGTGAGCTGGCGTCAGTCTGAGGTAAGTGGTTTGTCTGTGGTGCTCTGTTGTGTGCGTTCCTGTTTCAACCCTTTGGCGATTAGTGAGATGGCCGACCAGAAGGAACAAAGAGTGCGCGTGAAATTTTGCTTGATGAAGATTGTCGAAAGACCATTGCCCAACTTTCTGAGGAAACGAACATCTCATGGAGCACGGTCCAGCGAATTTTAACCGAAGGTTTGCACATGAGACGGGTGTCTGCAAAATTTGTTCCGCGCTTGCTCGGAGATGACCAAAGAGAAAACCGCGTGAATGTTTGCCGCGACTCGAAGAGTGAAGTGCAGAACGATCCAGAATTTCACGCACACTCTTTGTTCCTTCTGGTCAGCCATCTCAGTAATCGCCAAAGGGTTGAAACAGGAACGCACACAACAGAGCACCACAGACAAACCACTTAACTCAGACTGATGCCAGCTCACTAACAGTCGCGGGAGACCCCCAGGTAACACCACCTAGCAGCACAACTCGTAACTACAAAGCATGCGCGCGCAACAGGTCGGTTCCAATTATTTTTGGGTCCCCCCTCGTATTTTAGTCCTTTAGATGTTGGTACAGGGTAGAAGTACCACAGTTTGTAGTCACAAGTTAATCTTCTTTTGTATTTAATTGAGCACATACCATGCTGGGAATGTGAGAAATATAGGTTAAGATTGTGGCTAACTGGAATGTGACACCATGTAGATTGGTATGTGGGTACCAATATTTTGGAAAATTGTGAATCTTCAGTCTTCAAGGTAGAAGAGTGCAACAGTGTCCTTGGAAACATTGGTACTCGTGTATGAAAGTACATGGCAACACATCCCAGAAAACAATCTTGATACAACTATGGGAGGCTCAAATTTCATGAGAGTTATAGATATCAATGAAACGTGGTACTGTGGAAGTTTGGTTATCTGAACTGATTTACAACTCCATCAGAGAGAGAACAAAAATTACAAATTTAATCTGATTATTTTACTTTCTTGCGGTAAAAATGAATTCTTGTGAAACGTGGTATTATGTGTTAATGAACCTCACTGTCTGGGTGGTGAAAGATGTCACATGGTCACCTGGTTACTGCTTTTTCTGAGCTGTGCTTGTATTCACACATCCACCAATGCTGGTCATTGTTTGTGTATAAAATGTACTTATAAAGAAATCTTTTGAATAAATAATTTTAATAAATAGTTGTAATTTTTTGTTTGAAATGTGGTAATCCAAACAATCCAATAGTCCGAACACACCAGTGCTTTAATTAGTTTGGATTATTTAGGTTGCACTGTATTATGTTTCACATGTTGTATGGTCAGCCACAGTTGTTAATAATTTGGAAAAATTTGCTTTGAGCTTCATATACATGGTATGGTACAGATTATATATAATGCACCAAAAACAAACTGAAAATTCACCCAACTTTTTTTTCCGAGGTTCAGCATTATGTGTGACTGGAATCCATTGAATGTTCTATGGGATCTAAGATGTTGGCAATCAAATGTCATCTCACCCTTAAGAGCTCATTTTATACAATGACTGCAAAGAACACACAAATTAAAGTGTAAAGATTAATTTTATGGCTGCTACATTTGCAGAGACTTCAGGAGATGCTTTACTATGAGAGTGAGTGAAATGAAAACCGAAAAAGTTAGGCTATTCTGGAAAACTATTATGATACAGTGAACAAATTGGCTGCCATGTTGGATGTAATTTGTGTTCACCTCACCATATCATGCATGATGTAAATGCAAAGTAGATGCCTAAACAAGTGACTCCTGAACTCGAGGAAAGACACATGGACGCCTGTGACGAACTTCTTTGATGATATGAAGCAGAAGGTGATGGCTTCCTGAAGTGCATGATGAAAGCTAAAAGCTGGATGCACTGCTACCACCCTGGAATGAAGAGGTCAGGCAAACAATTTTGCCATTCCAGCTGAACAAAACCCCAAAAAACTCCCCACACAGGCATCTGCAGGAAAAGTGATGCTGACGCTATTGCAAGGGGTTTGCAGTTATCAGTGCCATATTGCAACCCCCTTAGGAATCATCAGAGACCAGCCACCAGATCAAAACATCATGAACTGCTCAATACTTGTGTCTTATTGCTGCATGAAAACACTAAGTCACATAATGCCTGTGTGTCACCTGAGATGATCAGGGACATACATTCTGAGTGTCTCCCTCATCCACTATACTGGCCTGACTTTATCCCTTTGTGATTACCGTACTTTTGGGCCACTCAAGGAGCCCCTAGGTGGAAATGCTTTCTGTTCTGTTCTGCTTTCTGCTTTCTGAAGAAGTGCAAGTGGTGGGGCACGAGTGGTTGCTCCTGCACTCAAAGGATTTTTTCACAATGAATTCAGTCATTAGTGAAGTGCTGAGGGCATGCATTGAACACAGTGGGGACTTACTTACTTACTCATGGAGCTGAGCCCTCCTTGAGAAGCCGCCAGTTCTACAGCTATTCAATAATTTTCCAGCATTTTATGGGATTTATACCATCCCATCCTATCTCTCTAAGATCCATTTTATTATTGTCCACCCACTTATGCCGTGATCTTAAAACGGCCTCCGTATTCTAGGGGTAACGTTCCAACCTCATGGGGACGTACAATAGACTATTAGTCGCGGTGCATGTTGAAACCCACCCCCTCCAATAATAATAATAATATGCCGTGATCTTCCCAGTGGTCTCTTTCCTTCTGGCTTTCCCACAAAACCACTAAATGCATTTCAAATCAATGAGTATCACAACACCAACTGTGGCTGCTTTTCCCTTAGTACAGAAGTAATGCTGAGTCTGTCGCAACAGAATAAAGAAGAAGTAAGGCAATTGCGTACAAAACTCGCTCATATCTCCGCAGGGATCCATTTCTGGATATACAAGTATCTTGAGTAGAATTTGTTTTTCTTTTAAATGAGTGCTATACCTAACCGTCTCTGTGGTCTAGTGGTCAGAGGTCCGGGTTCGATTTCCGGAACTACCAGATTTTCTGAGAAGTAGTGGGTCTGGGTCCACTCAGCCTCGTGAGGATAACTGAGAAGCTACTTCGAGGAAATAGCGGTTCCGGTCTAGAAAACGGAAATTAACGGTTGCACTGACATGCGACACCCTCTATCCGCTAAAGTTGTCACTAAACTTCGCCGACAAGCGGCGATCGCTCGGTCTGTATAATTCGCTTGCGGACTAAAATCAAGGAGTCTTTTTTTTTTTTTAGTACTATAACCCCTTAAAGCCGGTAACCCTTTTCAACACTTTATATATCTAAAAGTTCAATTATGTTCATAAGAAAGGTAACCCCTAAAAAGTGCCAAACTATACAGAAATCAAGGAGTGTATTCTTCTGAGTTCGAATGAAATCGGTTTGACACACATTTAGCGGAAACGGCAAAAGTACGGAACCCTTTCGCCTGTTATCAAGGACGCGTACACACATCTGAGCAGCTCTTGCGTAATCCATGTCACGTGACTTGAAGGTAGCTTCATGAACTGCATGAAGGTCGGTGAAGAATTGTGCATTAATTTGCGTGCCAAAAAGAGACAGTTGGTATGACAATTTGAGCAACAAAACCTGCTCTTCTTTTATGTGATCGTTGAGAAACAGCATAGCACAGGGATTAGCAATAGTAGGTTCCATTACGTCTTATGTGCAGTAAAACAGCGTTGTGGACGTGTGTTATCTGTATTGCGTCTGTTTTACATTAGCTGAAGTGCTTAAAACGAAGTGACGCCTGTGCATTTGGGAGTAATTAAACTACCAAATTCCCAAAGCGAAGTTTGCTGTATCCTGATCTGATGCACGACATTGAGGCCATAGTTGACAGGTGAGACGCTGGTTTTTATACTATCCGTAGTTTGAAACAATAAAAGGAGTCTTGTGAGGTCACCTTGCTGTCTGTGTGTCTGTCTGTGCTTTGCTCCCTAATTTTTGAAAAAATGAAAAATGAAAATGAGATCACACGCTTAGTGAATCCCCCAAATTTTTAGAAACAAGAAGTTCTAAGAAGAAGTAATCGTTTCCTCTCCCTTGAAAGAACACTCACTGTTTAGAAAACGACGCTTTGCCTAGCAACGATACGGAAATACAGACACAGAGCAAGGTGAACCCATGCGATTAATTGCTGGCTTCCCACCGCGGCGGCCCGGGTTCGATCCCGGGTCTTGTCAAGTGGGATTTGTGGTGGACAAAGTGGCACTTGGACAGGCTTTCTCCGAGTACTTCGGTTTCCCCTGTAAATCTTCATTCCACCAAATTCTCCATCATCATAATCACACGGGGCAGGCTACTAAAGGCCAATCAGTGGCCGCCGTGCCGAATGGACCCACTTGGACTCGACCCACCATTAAGCGAATTAAAAAAAAAGGTGATCTCCTAAGCCTACTTTTATTTCTCTTCCAAATTAAAAAGTAGACAACAAAATTGGACTTGCCCACGAATACACGATAATGTAAAGTTTTCCTAGCAATAACAGTAACGTGTTTACCACTGTTGCCTAGTAATGGCAGAGCCACACCGAGGGAACGGCAGCAGGAAGAAGGGGCACTCCCATATAAGATACAACGTAACACACTATATACTACCACCATAGTCGCTCAAACCATTGTCAAGAACAGAATGCATCTTACTTACTTACTCATGGAGCTGAGCCTTTCTGGAGGAGCCGCCAATTCTGCAGCTACTCAAGAATTTCCCAGCATTTTATGGAACCCGAGGGTTCATTACTGTGTTCACAAGAGCCCTCCACTAGTCCCTATCCTGAGCCAGATCTATCCAATCCATACCGTCCCATCCTATCTCTCTAAGATCCATTCTAATATTGTCCACCCACCTACGCCTTGGTCTTCCTTGTGGTCTCTTTCCTTCTGGCTTTCCCACCAATATCCTATACACATTCCTCGGCTCCCCCATTCGTGCTACATCACCTGCCCACCTCATCCTCCTTGACTTTATCATTCTAATTATACTTGGAGAAGAGTACAAGTTATTAAGCTCCTCAGTATGCTGTTTTCTCCAACTTCCTGTCACTTCATCTATCTTCGGTACAAATATTCTCCACAACACCCTGTTCTCAAACACCCTCAGTCTATGTTCCTCCTTTAACGTCAGAGACCAAGTTTCACACCCATACAGAACCACAGGCAAAATTATAGTTTTGTATATTCTAATTTTATGTTTTTGGACAACAAACGAGAAGACAAAAGGTTCTGGACTGAATGGTAGCAAGCATTAACTGAGTTCAATCGCCTCTTAATTTCCTCCTCGATCAGGTTTCAATCTGTTATCGTTGTTCCCAAATATCTGAACTGTGCCACATTTTCAAAACATCTGTTTCCTACCTGTATGTCATGATTTTGCCCTGCATTTTGGTGACGAGACAGTAACATATACATAGTTTACTTCTAGACCAACCTCTTTACTTGCATCAAGTAAAGTTTTTGTGTATTTCTTTATGGTATCTACATTATCACCCAGTAGATTCACATCATCGGCATAGGCCAACAGCTGATGTGTCCCGTTTAATTTCAGTCCCACCTGGTTTCCCTGGACCTTCCTAATGGCATATTCTAAAGGAAAGTTGAAAAGGAGTGGCGATAAAGCATCTCCTTGTTTTAGACCGTTCTTGATAGGAAACTTATCAGACAAATGTTTACCTACACGGACTTTACTATACGTTTCGTTTAAACACATTTTAATCAACCTAACTATTTTCATGGGTATCCCAAACTCTATCTGAATATTGTACAATACTTCCCTCCTAACTGAATTGTAGGCTTTCTTGAAGTCTATGAATAGCTGATGTACTGTTTCATTGTACTCCCATTTTTTGTCCAATATCTGACGATTGCAAAAGCTCTGATCTGTAGTTGATCTGTTACGTCCAAACCCACACTGATGATACCCCATAATTTCATTTATATATGGACTTAACCTTGAAAGAAGAATATTGGACAAAATTTTCTATGAAGTTGATATCAGTGATATCTCCCGAAAATTACTACAGTCAGTTTTATCACCCTTCTTGTGAACTGGTACAATAATAGACTCCTTCCACTGATCTGGAAATTTTTCCTTATGCCAAATAGAAGTAATTAGCTTGTGGATCTTAGAACGTAATATTTCGCCTCCTGCTTGAATAAGTTCTGCCGGAATTTGATCACTACCTGGCGATTTATACCTTTTCAATTTTGCAATAGCAGTTTCAACCTCAAAAAGGCTAGGATCAGGTATTAACGGCTCCGCTGTAAGGATTTCTGTCTACCTAACAGCACTGACCCTATGTACATTCAGTAACCGAGAGATGTAGTTCCTCCACCTATTCAAAATGTGGGAATCTGCAAGCAGATTACCATTCTCATCCTTCACTAAGTTAGTGCTAGGCAGGTAACCCCCTCTTAAAGTCTATACAGGTCTCTAATATTCTTGTTCTTACTGTTCATTGCAAGCTCATCAATTTTGTCTTTCAGATATTCCCTCTTTTTATTTCTGAAATGCCTGCTGGTTTCACGTCTTATATTGTTCAGATTATCCTCATTTAACTCGCTTGGATCCTGTAACCATTTCAATTTGGCCTGCTTTCTTTAATCTAATAATTTTGAGCATCCTTCATCGAACCATGGCTTATGCTTCTTCGGTTCATAATAACCTAGACACTCTTTGGCAGACATTTTTATATTCTCTCTAATAGTTTCCGGGGGGGCTCTCGGTCGGTATAGTTCGCTTGCGGACTAAAATCACGGAGTATTTATTTTTTTATAATTTTCGTTTTTCGTTACATCTTATAGAAACTAAAAAATACAAACTTTTCGTAATTTTAAAGAAGCAATTGTCTCAGTCAAATTATGGATTTTATTGAGGCCTCAGGGCGATAATCCTAATCACCCCCTTAAATTGAGGCCTGTCTCAACAAAGACATCAATATTCTATGAATTCTGTATTGTGAACGTACTTACGTAAATATGTATTCCGTAATGTGGAACACACCTTAAGACTGAAGTCTGTTAAATTTAAGTAGCGCCCTTTGAATAAAAATTTGAAGCAGTCTCAACTTATTTTTCCTCTTATATTCAGAAATGTATCCTGTTCTTGCAGGTCACACAGCTGAAGCTTCAATTTATCTGACCCACATTCAGCTGTTAGCCTGTGTGGGTAACATAACATAAGGCCGTCCTTTATGATATAAAATCCCGTGAAGGGATCTTTAGTCATTCAAAATAATTTATTTACACGTATTATTGATAATAAAGGATTTCATCAGCTCAAGAATTTTTAAGTTCGTTAGTGTTCATAAAGCGTTTCAAAGATTCACCCCCCAACCTACCTCCTTATTTTGAAATATAAAAGGTGGATTATGAGATCATCTTACTGTGTGTCTGTGCGTCCCTTCTTAACGTTGCTAGGCAGAGGCTTGGTAAAAACGTTCCCACGGCTACGAATACACACGCAACAATAGAAGAACTATTGGACCCGCTGTTTCCTGTGCTGTCCGTTTCGTATCAAGTACTCAGTATGCAGTGAAGTGAAAGTCGGCGACAGTTTTCCAAGAGACACCCCGGTTCGCGATTTACACGTGGCTTTAAAAATTCCGTACGTATATGATTATATAATAAAATTATGCAAGCGACAAGCAGAAGTCGTACGAAATCACGATAACGAAAATTTTCACAATATTGGATGAGGCGAAGACCGACGTAGGAAGTATGAGACGCTTAAACTTGGCGACGGTCAAGCATGCGACCGTTCAAGTGACTAGACTGCCGTTGTAGCGGAAGCTACTATAAATATGGCATAATCTGCTGTACTGAACCAGGAGTGACAGAGGCTCTGTATATATTTTATATACATTTATTAACATGTTTAACATAAAATGTAAATATCTTTTACATTATGACAAATGACTTACTACTGCAGACAATGACTCTGACACAAGACAGACCCGTCCTCTCGTCAGAGAAAGCGCCGCACAGTAACAAGACCCTAACTTTCAAACAGTAATAAATATCTAGTCATAAGCCCCAGATTGGGCTCGACACCAAGACAGACTGACTGACTGACTGACTGACCGTCAGTGACCATGTGACTTTGACTTTGAAATTCAGAGATTAGTTCTTCCCGGAATTTATTGTTTAAAGTTGAGGAGAATAAGACAGATTCTGGGTAATAGAAGGATAATCTTGAGACTGGTGCAGAACCAAATGGTGCAACACATGCAGTCCATATGTCGCGAATTGGACAGCCCTGGATTATGTCATTAGTTGATTTATTTGTGTTGATTTTAACCAGGGGATGGAAGTGGATTTTCTCTCTAAGCTGATATCCGCAATCCTGAGTCAGTACAAGATCATGGTGAGATAGGAGAATGATACACGCATCCAACAATTCAAAGCACGCTGTTAGCTGTATGCTGCACCTGTTTTAACATTAAGAATTCGAGTTTCGCCCACAGAATACATTTCTATGAGTTTCTTGTGGTTCTGTAGCTCTCAAATTAAACAACTATTAAATCTTGAAACAATTTTAGTGAGTTTTTACACCGCGCCATAGCTCAAGCGGTTAGTCGCTGGCTTCCCACCGCGGTGGCCCGGGTTCGATTCCGGGTCTGTTCAGGTGGGATTTGTGGTGGACAAAGTGGCGCTGTGGTAGGTTTCTCCGAGTACTTCGGGTTCCCCTGCCAATCTTCATTCCACCAATTGCTCCACAATCACCCTCACCTATCATCTGGGGCTGGTACAATAGGCCAGAAGTGGCCGCAGTACAAGGGACTTAGTCCTACCCCACTAGCGTTAAAAAATAGTGAGTTTCTATTTTGGTGATATAGCGTGTTTT